GTGTCCCTCCTAAAATATTCATACAGCACAACATAATAAACAACTATGGGTTATCAGTAACCCTGGAGATTATCAGCAATCTCAGCGGGTTAACTGTACGCCCGGTGGATTAACAGCATGTTCCAAGGGTTATTAGCAACCCTAGGGATTCTCAGCAATCCCAAGGTTATTAGTAATACAATTCAATTCATACATAACAATAATTAGCAATTATGACCCAACTTGTTACAAACATAATTACCACACAAGTAAATGAAGTAAGAAGACTCACCTCACTCACAAGCTAAGTACAACAGCTCATACAGGGTAGACATGTACAAATAAGCACCTAATTAGCAATAAAAAAGCACCATTTTCAAACTATGCACAAAACCTAATTTTTCACCAAAAGTCAACAAATTCAAAGTCCACGGTCCACCCTACTACGCCCCGAGTACCGGCTGTAGTACGCATGGCATAGAGCCTATGATATTACGGGACGAAACCAGGCTACGCCCTGCATAGCAAGATTTACGCCCCACGTAGCAAGTCTGAATGCTAAAAGTTTCATTAAGCTATTTATTTAGACAATTAGCTCCACAAACTTCCAAATATGAACAAAAGGGATGACTTAATGAATGTCGTTGCAGTCGTTCCGTTGACTTCTGCGGTCGGCGAAGAGAAAGGAGCACGGGGACTCGACGGATACTGATCGCTGTTACGATTTGTCGCCGGAGAAACCCACACCTTCCTCCCTCGTTCTTCCTATCGATCAATCATCTCAAAACACCCCCTACCGTTTCTTCTTCCTTCTTCGTGCGTGACTGTCGAACGAACCAGAGAAGAAGAAACGACGAGGAAGTCGCCGGAGCAACCCCCTCGCCACCAACTACCGCCTCCGTTTCCTCCTGCATCTTCCTTCGACATTGCCGCTGCTTCAGCTTCTTCAACCTCTCACTGCCGGCAACGAAATCACGAAGGACTAGGAGGGATCGCCGTTCTCAACGGCCTTCTTCTTCCCTCCTCGCGATCTGAATGACACCATCGGACCCGATTAGTTCGTTCCCTCCAATCCCCAATCTGATCAAGACGATGAGACGCAACCCTCATTTATACATTTGATAATTTGGCGAAATCGGTCCCTGCAACTTTAACTTTAAATCAAAATCGGCCTTTGACATAAATCTTTACAAACCAGGTCTAGGCATTGCAAAAATGGCCCCTAAATTGTTTTTAAAGATCAAAACTTGGCCCTTTTGGGATATAAATTATTACCAAATCAGTCCTTTGTGTTAGTAAAAATTACAAAACAACTTTTTAAGTACTAAATATTTCAAAACGAGTACACTGACTTAAAATATTATAAAAATTGTCTTGGATCTTGTTTTAACTCAAAAAGACATCAAGATGCGGTTATTTGCGAAAAGCTTCACCAAAATGAACCTGGGTCGAGCTCACGCTTCAAGGGTGAGTTTCTACGGCTCCTCTTTTACTGTTTTAATATTTGGGAGAGAATATATGCATGTCTAATTAAGCTTTAATGATTTACAAATTTTTATACGTTAAAATGCATCATACTTGTTATTGGTCAATTGTTTACGAAATAGCCATATAAAATGCTATACATCATTAATAAATTCATCAAGTTAAAGTAGATTGCTAGTATATAATATACTTTTACTTTCTTGTGAAATATTAGTTAATATTAATAAAAATCACATGATTTTAAGTTAGATTGCTATAAAGATATAAGTATATTGGACGAATCCTAAATTGGAAGTTTTGTTGTAGGTATGCTCAAATATGTTAGGAAAACGTAAAGATACATTATTCATATAACTAAATGTTCTAGTCAACGAAATTATGTATAAAAGAAATATACATTACCTTAAACTGTTGACAAACGAAGATTGAACAAATACATAATAATTAATTGAAAATATACCGGAAACCAATTATTATTATCATTATACTCTCGATCATCACGCAAAAAGGATTTTAAATAAACATTATATGTCTTATTAGTATAATTATTATAAAAATGTAAATCATTTTTATGGTAATATGAAATTAGTCATATATGATAACATAATTGATTCTTGGATTCTAAGAATCATTACCAAATAAATTATATATTATCAACAAGCTTGTATATTGCCGCGTGAATGCCCATTTTAACGTCCCGTTCGTGGAGACATTTCAACATAAAAACAAGCTGAATAAGCATTACAATATCTTCATCCTGAAGTGACAAATAATTCAGAGACATAATGTAGTCTTCTAAATCTTTCATCCGCAAACGTGCATCAGAAATGTCTGGGAACAACCAAACACGAATATTTGAATTTGACCGGCATTTTACGTCATGGAGTAGATCCACATAAGGACCAACTTTTAAACCACAAATCAAAATATATTCAGTTTCACCAAAACCCAACTGCATCCCCTCTATCTCAAAAAGAAACATCCCCATTTCAAACACTTCTTGAGACCTTACTTCATGCAACATCATCAAATGCACAAGTAATGGGTCACAATGGGGGATATGCATTCCTAAGAATTTTCCAAACGGTGAAGCTTCAAATAATAGTCGTTGTGATTGTGTTAGGCGCGAAATATAATTTTTAATGATCGTACCCACCACGCATTTTAAAGTTAAATATGCTTTTTGATTGAGATCATCATGCTACAAAACATATACATTTAATTTCATATAAAACATTAGTAATTGAAAATAAAAAACAAGGTTTTAAAATTACTTTTCTAATTCGGTTTATGAAATAAATAGCAACGTACTTTTTATATAATACTAAATACCTCATATAAATGGGCAAATCTTTTTTTTTTTTTTTGAAAAAAAAGGTTTCACGTCATTCCGCGGAGGCTAGAGGTCATTCCGCGGAGAACCCTCTGCGGAGTGACCTACACCTCCGCGGAGACTCAATTTTGGTCGCTTAACTCATTCCGCAGAGGGAATACATCACTCCGTGGAGGATCCTCTGCGGAATGACGTACCTCTCCCCGGAATGGATCATCCCAAAATCGAATCTGTGAATCTTAACATCTACAAAATCTAAATCTGTATATATATTCACGGTAATCAATTGGGTTTTCGTAACATTTGAATCATATACGACATTAATCAAAAGAGGGGAATGTGAGAAATACCCGGGAGCCGTATCCATCGGCAAAAATATTGGGGAAATTGCCCTCCATCGGTGCCGGATTTGAAGTCGTTTCTAGTCAATTTCGCCGGAAAATGACGTCGTTTGATGTCGTTGTCGTCGGGTTTGAAGTCGCCGGAAAAGGTTCAATATACACAGTCGATGTGGAGACAAGATCGATGTCAAAGAGGAATCGGGGGATCAGTGGGGGACCAAAGCAGGGGAATCGTTTTTGTCAAAGAGGAGAGGGTGAAATTACGAAATTACCCCTCTCCGCGGAGATTTCGTTATTCCGCAAAGGTCCGCAGAAGGTCCTCCACGGAATGCATGTCTATACCTGAAAATTTCCAGTTTCATGTCTAAAATTTGAAATTACCCTCCATTTTTTTATTATAGCCGGTATTTTTCCTCACAAACACACCACACAAATAACTCGAGTGTGATGGCCAATGGCGTTACCTTGTGATATGTTTCGCTATGGAGCTCTTCTTTGTTGGTAACTTGCCTTGCCACTAGTGGCCAAATTGGAAGGTTCTTCGTCTTGGTCACCGTAAGGACCAGGGTTTTTCCTTGTCATGGTATGTCGGATGAAAGGATAATTTTCTTTCTTTCCGTACACTGATTTCAAAACAATACAAAAGGATTTTTTGTTCCTTTTTATTCAAAAAAGTAAAAAAGGTATCGTATATTCGTTTTCTCATTTATTTATTTATTATTTTTTTTTACTTCCGTACACTGATTTCCCAATATATAAGACAATTCAGATTCTTCAGTCATTCACTACAAATCTTCCATTGATTTCCACAGTATTGGCAAGAAGGTGTTTAAGGTGTGTCCTCTTCATCTCTCCCTCTCCTTCTCCAACCATTCTCCCCTCCCCTCCCTCTCTCAGTTTCTGTTACCGTTCCACCGCCGTCCGCCGTGACACACTCTTCCCTTCGCTGGTAGCCATTACCCCTCACAGCCTCACCTCTCGCTGCTGATAACCCACCAACCACCACCACCATACAAACCCTAAAAACAAGCACTCAGCTTCATACCACCACTCTCTCCGCCGCCCCCTATTTCCTCCCTTTCTCCCATGCACGACAATCCCAAACGACATCCCGACCCCGCTGCCGGCAGCTGTACCACCCTCCGATTCAAAGAACCATATTCCAGCTCCTAAATTTTGGCCACCCATCACAAACCAATCTGCCGGAAAATCCCATTTATGTCACCTTAATTTCTCTGCGATCCCCTCCTCTCATCTCGTTTCTCGCCTGAGAACACCAGTTGCTTTCTCTGAGACTCTGACTTGCACCACCACCAACTGAAACCTCTCTGTATGTGTGTGTTTAGTCTTCTCTGCTTAAGAAATCCCCGAAAACAAATCCCTAATTTACATTTCTGCTTATGTTCTTCCAAATCCTTGCTAGATTAACGTTTTAATCCTACATTTTTTTTTCTTTTTCAATTTCTGCAGGTTTAGGTCTAAGCGGAGCATCACATTGAGTTACAACAAAGTTTTTTTTGGCATCTTCAGTACAATTTCATCCTTCTTATTCCATACTCTTAAATTAACTTTCATTAGCGTTAACTTTGATTCATAAAATTATCCACCATTAACAGTTGTTCAGATCAACAATCAGACACTGTAATTGGATAGATACTATCATCAATGTTACATCACTGTAATGAATCTTTTCTTGGTTGGACCAAAGTTTGACTTTGGTTGACTTTGTTAATTTACTTGACTTTTTCTTTCATCTAACATCAAGTTATATAGGAACTAATACACAGTTGAATGGTTTAAGCAGGATGGATAATCGTAATGCTTTGGTGATGATAGCTGGATGCATAGCCTTCAACAGTGTGATGTGTCTGCTAGGATTCCCAGGAGGATTTGCAAACATTGGGAAGACAAAACGCGATTGGGTGTTCCTCCATGCGAACATGAAAGCTCTTTGTATCTCCATGACTGTGTTTGTTGTTGGAATGAGTGCGGGGCCCACATTCTGGAAAAAGATCGAGGAGCGTGCAAGATATGCCATGCTTATTGCAATTGCTGCTATGGCGATAGCTGTTCATAAGATTGTTCTTAGGATTATAGGGGACGACTACTGGTTGAGGCTTTTTGCTAATTGGTCCTGTGCTGTGATCGTGCATTTCACTTGTGGTTTCATCTTCTTTCTCAGGTGTGGCTATGGGATCAAGTAGAGACGATGTTGGTGCGTTATTATGATTAGTGAACAATCAACTCGATCTAATCATCTGTTGGATGCTTTTGAATTTTGATGTCAAACTCTTACTATTGAATATTGAGTATTAGTATGGATATGTGACTAGACCAAATTAGTCTTTTATTCTGTTTACGTTTTAGGAAATATTATGGAATCAACAAGTGAACTTTTCATTTTCTTTCATTTTAGTCGACGAATTGCCAAGAAGACCTAGTTTACTAAAATTATGTGTAGCTATTCTTATGTTCCATACAAGTTACCAACAAGAGTGGAATATTATATATTATTAGTTGTTGAGTTCTACCTATTTGGTTTAAAAGGTGGTTTTAATTTTGTTCATAGGCCATGTAACCATCTTGGTTATCTCAAATGAACAACCATCTTTTGTTCGTATATAATTGGTATGCTATAGTGTTAAAATATGAGAATCTCTGTTATAAAAGTATGGACATCACTTCCCTAACTTTGTGGACGATATGATTTACTTTCTAATATTGGTTGCCAGACTAGTCGCTATATGAATATGGATGCAGGTTAACGTCATTAACATGCAACAAACCATTCCAAATTTTATGCAATTGATATGTTTATCAGTTTATTTTGACCTCATTAAAGTAATCCGTACTTGATTAAACAAAATGATTGTTTAGTAAAGGGTTGCTAAAAAGGCATCTCATTTTACCATATAAACACCCTAATTAATTTTTGAAATATTTTTATTGGTTGAAATTTCATTGTTTTACAAAAAAGCTGATTATAAGTAGTTAATTATATGTTGACTTTTTTTAAAAATGTCAATAGGGTGTCTAAAATGTGCTTTATTATTATTATTATTTTATTAATGTTTTGGGGTGTAAATTTTATAATTTTTTTTTAATATATCAAAAACTGATAATCATTTGTTTTTCTTCTATTAATAGATACAATTTCACAACTTTGAGTCTCATTGGAGCGTCACAGCTTGTTAACCATGACGTGAAGTTCATGCACTTGCTCCAAGATAAGTTTGTCATAAACTATTTGAAACTCTAAATACTTAGTTAGTACATTTCTCATGTGCCTTGTACTTGAGTTCCAAAGCACTCCATAGCTCTCTTGGATCTTTGACTGGCGCGTAAAGATCATAGAGCCGACCAGACAGTGAGTTCTTGATGTGACCCACACACAGTTCCTTAGACTCTCTACGTAGAGCCCTTTTGTTTTTCCGGATCAGAGATGATTGTTGGATCCACAGTTTTCCCGGCCCCGGGAATTGGATCAGTAGGAATCGGGGTCAGTTTTGGGTCCAAAACATAGGCGAGCTTCAACACATGAAGCATGAACTTGACCTTGTCGGCCTAGCAGGAATAGTTCTGACCATTGAATCGGTCAAGCTTAACAAACTCTTGGTTCATGTAATGGAGACTAGCAGTTGGGATTTGGGTGTTCATTAGTCTATGATTTATAAACCCAATAAAACCTTTAAGATTGTTGTAATTCAGAACCAATAGACATGCGAAGAAACTGACAAATAATATTGAGAATTATATTACGAATAATAAATCCAATTATTATTAATATGAGTACCAAGTTTCTTCTCGATTAGATCTGATTATAAAAAAGTGGTAGAAGCAGACTGTCATGTTATTGGACGAAAATAAATGCAAGACAATAAAATCTTGAATGTGTAGTAACTGCACAGATCGAACTCCTGTCCTTAAAGGTTTTTACTTCGCTTCTATCGGCTGTAAGTCACAGAGTAAAAAATGTCCTTAAAAGAGTAAAAAATGTCCTTAAAGGTTTTCACTACGCTTCTATCGGCTGTAAGCCACAGAGTAAAAAATCACGCACTCGCGGCGTCGGCTAGTACTAGTGCTAGGCTAGGCGGGCGTATGTGGGCTTGGCTTGTCCTTTGATCCACTAAGAGCCTTTAAAAGACTATCAATAGAAAAACATTATAAACCCACAAAATGTTTCTTCCCCATCAATGTAGGATAAAGGAAAATAGCCAACTTGCTATTATGCCTTCATTATTTCCAACACATGTCCTGAGATGCAATGTAATGTAAAAAGTAATTTAATTTTTTACTTTTAGATTGTATGGATTAATGTTTAAACTGATTATCTTCTTAATTGTAAAGTTAAGTTTTTCCAACATTTCGAATTGTTTTCGTAAAAAAATATATTATTTTCCACATTTAATGTCTACAAAACTTGTGTTGTGGAAATAATTGAATGAACTTCATATTTCTAAAACAACTATTTAGAATGTTTAGTTTAATTTATTTGGATTATTTTACTTATATAGTACATCTACTTGGAATTTTAATTTTATTGATGTGAAAAATGAATGGAAAAGTACAGTAGTACATATTCTTTAGAAATTTAGCAACTTTTTATAGGTGTGAGGCGAGAAAAAGTCTATATAAATGGCTTGTGTATAGAAAATACAAGTTGCACATCAGCTGAGATTTGTGGCTACGAATTCTGATTTTAAACTCTTATATTTAACTGTTCTATTTTACTAGTTCCTAGTTATTGCTTTTCATATTAAAAACCTCACTGGTTCAAAAAAAAAAAAAAAAAAACTATTCACCAGATTATTAGTTCTTCTTGTTCTTATTCATTTTTTGATTCATTCATCATGTAAAAATTGTGTTGGTTGGTGAGTCTTCTTTGTTTATTTTTGGGAAAATGACATATATGCCCTATTATGTTTCCGGGGTTTACCAATTTAGTCATTTAACTTATTTTGTGGTTTTATAAGGGGAATGAATTATCTGTTACCTACCAATATAATCGATTTCACATATTGTAGCCGGTTTACATTGCCACATAATCGTAGCCTAACACATAAGCGACGACATGGCAAGAATTCAAAGCATCCCAACAACCGAAACGACGTTGTATTGAATGTGAATCTTAGAGAGCATGCTTCGACTGTTCGGGTGCCTCCATATAAATTGAAGACTTTGTTGCCCTAAAATGGCACATCTACAAACTTCATTACCCCAATCTCATCTTTAACTTCACTCCAAAATTGGAAAATGCCTTCGCGCGCACCTGCAGAACACAGCTGGTCTCCAAACTATCTCTGTCATATGGAGAAGACTCATTCCAATAGTGTAACCAACGAAGACATGGCCATCAATCTACTGCAAACCCAACTGGAATTGTCTCTCATACGGGAGGACTTCCAAGACCAGTTGCGTGAGCTCCGACAGGGTGTTAATCGAGACTTGGATGCCATGAACCGTGAGGTCGATGACGTTCGCGCTGGTCAGCTGGATATTTCTAATATCGTTGCTGATCTTAAGAATCATTTCGTTTCTCTGCAAGGCTCGTATATGAAGATGATCTTGGAGCACAACAAACGTAAGAAAGTGAAGTATTTTCTTGGGATTGTTGGTGTTGTTACTGTAGGTGTGTTCACGTACATGTTCTTCAACTAAAAAAAGTTGTGTAGTTTAAAGAATTTATGTCATGGGTTTGTGTTTTGGTGTGTTATTTAAGTTGTTTAATGTCGATATTAGTAATAGATTTTGTGTCTGGTGATGCTTGTTGCTGGTGTTGGTAATAGTTTTTGCTGTTAGTGCATAGAGTTGGTGGTGGTGTTGCCTGGGCTGGTGATGGTCATCGTTTTTTGATGAAGTTTTTTGTCGATGATCTTTGTAATAGGTTATGGAATAGGAAGAAGTGATGTAAACAAACCCATGGCTGAAATGTTGGTTTATATATTATTATTTAAAAAATCGTCTTACACTTGTTTCTGTGTCTGTGCATGAACAAATGAAACATTTGGGGATTATATATGTTTTGGTAACTTGTTCCCAGTCACATGGATCTTCATCGCTGGGATGGGACTACAAGCCAAAGCAAATTGAATATACTTTTTTAAGCAGATACACAGGGACCACAAATGGTGCAGGTGGGGAAAAGGGACAAAATTTAACATCAACATTGCACACGAGGCACAATGCTCCTTGTCTGTAACCCTTTTTTGGAAAAAACCGTTTCTAAAGTGCACTTTTTCTTGTTTCCTAGTCAGTTTACTTTTTCCTTGTTTGATTGTTTATGGATTAATAGGCATATAACGTGTTACAGGAATAGCTTAATGGATTAAGTCACAACTATCCTGTTACATAAAATGACATAATTACCCCCACATAAAAAAACTTTAGTAATGACACAAGTCGATCCGAAATGGTCAATTTATTTATATGAAGAACATACCCATACTTGATTACATACTGTAAATGGCTAAACAACCCTAAATGACCAAAATACCCTTATAATTTTGTTTAATGGAAATGACTAAAATAACACTGAAATCCTAACTCATTTACAATGGCTACAATTCTCGTATTTCTTAGTTAATCCACATGAGTAACATACAAATTCCACAATAACTTAATGTAAATGCCCATAATACCCCTACATATTTGTGTTAATGAAAAAACGAAAATACCAATACCTATGTAAGTTAATCTAAAATGGCATATACTAACTTACCATACCATAAAACAACATAACATACATCATTTCGTTTATTGTGACACACATTCAATATAAATACCAAACCATTATCTAATCCAAATCCATGACTCCCAACATACATCATCTCTCCAACATCTTCCTTTTGTTAGGTGGTCTTAAATGTTGAACTTGACGAACACGAGCATTGACCTTGACCCCTTCCACACGACCATTGACTCCCACCATTTGCTCTTCCTGACCAGTCGTCTCTAATGCATCCCCTGCATCAACCATTACCTCATCATCCCCACCCCCTTTCGTAACGTTCACAGACTCCTGCGTAGGTATAATATTTTGTTTCTTTGTCCCATTTTGTTTAGATGGGCCTGTAAATTGACTACCAGTTGCCTTGTTGTGACCTTTCTCTTTGCATAAGCTACAAGAAACCTTCTTCCCTGCTTTTGCAATGGTGTGTTTTCCCATCCGTTCAGAAGCATCCCTTCTTCTCTTTATGGTTGGCCTGCCTAGCATACATCTTTTCAATGGAGGCAAAGGAGGTGTCAAGTCAGTAGAAGGCCACATGTTTTTTCCATTCATCCCATGGATTGGCTGTTTGTAAGTATTATGGAAGAATGCAGCCAAGTACATTGGATCTAAATATGGCCCATCAGGTGTAATATTTAAATAGGCTAAGGTGGCAACCAAATGTACGCAGCCATATCCATTAAGTTGCCATAGTCTGCAACTGCATTCCTTTTTTGAACATGAACAATAATATATGCCTCATCCATTTTCCTTGCCTCAAACTTCATTCCCCCACAAGATACGACCTGCCAATGGCTACATAGATGAAAACCCAAAATATTATGAAATGTGACCAGTAAGGTATGGATGTTATTGGATAAGTGTACAAACCTTTGCTCGGTTTGGAGCATATTCAACCGTGTTCTAATATTTAGACAAACAGAATAACGGTTCCATCCTTGTCCTGTTAGTTTCATAGTCACCATCCTTTGCATCACATATATACGAATGTCCTCTAACATGCTTATAATTGGTTTCTTCCGGGCATTCAAAAGCACACTATTAAAGCTCTCTGAAAATCCATTCTCTACTGACTCACAAGAAGAATTGTGAACTCTGAAAAAAGCTAAAGACCAAGTCTTTGGATCTCAATCCATAAGATGCACAACTGCGGCCGGATTTAACTTTCAGTCTCTTTCATAACTCCATTAAAATGTGTTTCAGTTGTTTCCTTGCTCACTTTCTGTCACACCCCCAAACTGGAACGGCGGAAACGTTCGGGGGCGGAGGACGTCATGTTTAGTATCACAACACATGCATCATAGTAATCAAAGTAACAAACAACCATTGCATTAATATTAAAGTGTTTACAAAGTATGTGATTCACAAAAGATTGACTCCAAAAGTAAATAACAAAACAAGACATGAAGCTACTATACTCCATCTTCTGAATCCCAGTGCGCGTACCTGTCTACTAGTCTCCTGAGAATACAAGTTATTTTGAAAGAGTAGATCAACATTTAAGCTGGTGAGTTCATAAGTATTTTAGTTATGAAAAGTAAATTGTAAGTTCTTTAGAAAAGTTCACCTGTTCCTCCAGAAAATCCTATATTTTCTGATGTGATGAATGATAAGTAAAAATGACTCTATAATTCCTTCTATGAGTGCTAAATGGATACAAGTTATATACAATCCAGAGTAAACAGACAATCGATTGTGTGAATCAGCCCTAAGCCCACAACCAAACAAGGAACATTAAGTAAGGTGGAAAGCACACATCCCATTGATTGTTAAATCTTCATTTTATATAACCCTGGCGTATTCATTTGGTACTTACGGAGTTAACTGTAATAATTCTTTATATTTGAAGAAAAAATTCCTTAAGAAAATCATATATTTCCTTTAGTAAAAATGGTAACCACAATAGTTCCTTCTATAATCACTTAATTTATACTAGCTATATATATGTAACATCCGGATTCCCAGGTATATTATTTTATTATTTTATTTTGGAATTTGTTGAGGGACTCGGCGAGTTGGTGCTTAGAATCGCCTAGTAGGGTCGCGATTTCTCATCCGGATTAATGACCGGACTCGGCGAGTCCATGAGTGGACTCGGCGAGTCCACGCTGTTTAATGAAACCCTAATTTTTCCGGGTTTGGGACCTATTTAAAGGCCCTTATGGCCGTCATTTGCGGCCATCAACCCCCAGAGAGAAACCCTAAGTGATCTAGAGTGCTTGTGAGGAAGGAGAGGCCAATCTTGAACTTTTGTGGGTATTTTTGCAAGAAGGAAGTGTTCAAGGCAAGAGGAAGCTGAAGGAGGTGCGGTTTTGGTGGTTTTTGAGCTCATAGAGATTGTATTGAGGTATTATTCTCGGACCTTCTTCAGTTTTGGTGTTGATTCTTAGTGTTAGGGTTTTCTAACCCTTTTAGAGGATGATTAAGTGGAGTATTTGGCCCCTTCTCGAATTTGTGTTCTGGATCTGGACCCAAGGGGGTCCAGAGACCTTAACCCTTGGAGCTTTATGAGTCATTGTGGGAGTCATGAGCTTAGAATGTCATTTTTGGGGCTAAATCATCATTTTGGACCATTTAGATGTTATATGTGTGTCAAGGTCCGAACTTTACATGATTATCATGCTTGGGGAGGCCAGATCTATGATTGTATGGAACAGATCTGACCTCAGAAGTTGTTTTGAGTTGGTGCATGGCATGAACTCGCCGAGTGCAAAGAATAGACTCGGCGAGTAGTATGAAGGTTGCCCGTTAATCACTCAGTGAGTGGACTTGTCGAGTTGGGGGAATGACTCGGTGAGTCAGGGAGGGTCAGGAGTCCGAGTTCAAGTTGGAACTCGCCGAGTTGTTCTTGAGACTCGGCGAGTTGAGTCGGGGTGGCCCCGCGATTCATGCCAGGTGGAACTCGTCGAGTCAAGGGAAGTACTCGACGTGCCAAGAGAGGATCTAAGAGAGTCAGTGGACACGTGTAGACTCGCCGAGTCGCCCTAGTGCACTCGACGAGTCGGGTCAAAGTTTGACCGATGACCTTGTTGACTTTTAGGGTTGAGTACAGTTGTATTTATGAGAGTATTACTTTATGTGATTAGGCGGAGGCTAGATCACACTTCTTCCGAGTCAGCTATTTACCGAGACATCGTGGTGAGTCTTCTCACTATACTCTACCTTGAGTAGGTAATTAGAGTTATGTGACAGAGTTGTTGTATGCTATTTATGTGATGTGTTGCACTGCATTATTTCTATGTGATTTATGCCGTGTATATGTCAGAGTATATCAGAGTTGGAACCGAAAGGTTCACAGAGCTAGGACCAGAGGGTCCACAGAGTTAGGGTCCAAGGGCCCGCAAAGTTATAGCTTCGAGTGGCTAGTATGTGTTATGTGTGGTATTTTGGGGAACTCACTAAGCTTTGTGCTTACAATGTTTGGTGTTATGTGTTTCAGGTACTAGTGAAGATCGCGGGAAGGCGCCGGCATGATCAGTACACACACACGCGGAGTTTTATATATGTTATGATCTTGGGATTTTGACTTATGTTTGGATGTATGAAACAATGAGTTTTATAATATTATGAAATAAGGTGTTTTCAAAATGTGAAAATTTGCTTGAAAATTTGGGGTGTAACAATATAATCTAATATCGAACGGAGAGTTAAATGTATGAATCTACCCTAAGTCCACAACTAAACAAGGAACAGGAAATGAGGCGGAAAACACACATCCAATTGCCTGTCGGATATTTATTATATATAACCCTGATGTATAAACTAAGGTATTATAGAATTAACCACTAAAGGTCTTTTAATTTATACTGGTTTAATAATGCGAATTAAACCTTTTATAGATAAGTTTCTAGTTTCACCTACTTAATGTTCTATCTGAAAAGTATGTTTTAATTTTGTACTAGAAAGCGGTTTACTGAATTTGTATGCCATGACCTGACCCATACCTGTTACTCCCTATGATTACTTGGTGTATACAATATATATATATAATATATATATATATATATATATATATATATAGCTAAAATCGAATAGGTAGCAGACTGTGTGAATCTGCTCTAAGCCCACAACCAAACAAGGAACATGAAATGAACCGGAAAGCACACATCCTACTTCCTGTCGGATCCTATTAATATATATACCTAATGTATCCACTAAGGAATCATAAAGTTAGCATTATAGGCCACCTTCTAACTGAATGTTCATGTTACTAGGAAGTTATGTGGCGCTGTTCTATTTGTTAGGAAGACTACTAGAAATAATGAAATCATGTACTCTAAACGCCTCAGTCGATAATGTTGTGAGTTTTATATATATTGCTATGTTTTATTTATTATTGTCCGGTACTTTGTAGATGTACCCTTTATAAATAAAATCCGGTACTTTGTAGATGTACCCTTTATAAATAAAATCCGGTACTTTGTAGATGTACCCTATATATAACTCCGGTACTTTGTAGATGTACCCCATATATAACCTGGTACTTTGTAGATGTACCCCATATATATCCTTATACCTTGTATATTATCATATTTTGTTTTAAACAATGAGTTAATGATACGTTCCCTTCCTAGGTTACTGGGAGTGTAAAGTATAAGTTCGTGAATCATGATTTGTTCCTCTATTCTAGAATATAGTATGTTCCATCCTGTTCTTGTTATAGTATGTTCTTTCCTGTTCTAGTTATAGTATGAACTGAACCCCTAAACTATACCTATTATAGTTTACTAGTATTCTTGTTCTAACTGTTATTGACTTGAAGAAAACACTCAATTATGTACTGAGTTAAGCATGTACTTTAAAAACAGAGTTTTATAAACAATAATCTAACATCATTTTAAAAGATTTTTTGAATTGATTTGATCACTTACAAAGCATAATAAATCCTTAAATGTGATGGTTATCACAGGTAAATCTTAACACAATATCATTGTGTTTAATTTTTATCCCCCCCCCCCTTAAAAGCATTTAAAACATTTAAAAGATTGATTATAGGGGCATGAACTCACCTTATGTGGGTGATTCAATTGAATATTCGAGTAAGGATGATAAGTTCCACGAATGAAGTCCCGAGGCACAAATGAGTCCTAAATGACATATATTGATACATATAGGCATGTAATTAGTGAATCTAACTACAAAAGAGATTGGGAAACAACCTAGGATGCAAGAATAACTCACCAAAAGAGTGCTAGAAGAAAGTTAAGAGGTTGAAGGGGTGTTAACGACCCAAAGGAAGGATTGTTCACGGACCAATGGAGTTCACGGTCCAAAAGGATGGATGTTCACGGCCCACTTGAGTGGTTCACGACCCACTTGAAGGGTTCACGGCCCAAACTTGAAGGGTTCACGGCCCAATGATGAACACATGAAGGGTTCACGGCCGTGAACACCCTTTGATGGGTTTTCTAGTTCAATTTCATTCCTTTAATCCTAAGCTAACACTTCTCAATATCAAATCCTTAAGTGTACTAGGCTTAGAACTCATTAAAATGACCATTAACAAGGCCAAAAGGCAATAGAAATAAGTCTGACTTTTGGTTGATTGGATTTGACGTTACAAGATAGAAATTTATGGGTTGTCACATCATCCCCCCGTTAGA